CTTGTGCGTGCTGAATTGTGTAATAAACAGAAAAAGTAAGATTGAAGTTACTTTTCTGGCTGTATTGGCTGAAGTTACTCTATATGACTATTTTAGCTATTTTTACATATAATTTTTTCTTTATTTTATTAATAAAATATATTTTAAAAATAATTTTTTCGTAAATCATCAGAATCAGTCAATGCATCCACTTCAGACAGAGCTTCATAAATTTCAGCAGAATCAACCGAAACAGCCGATTTTGATGCTACCAAACGAGGTCTTAATCTCTCCAAAAGTTTACCTCTAATGTCTTTTTCTAGCATTTCCATGGATAAGCTGAATTTTATTCCAATTCGATCTTCTTATGATTTTGAGGGTCTCAATGAGCAAACACGCCTAAGGCTAACCGCAACTCATCTCCGTCAATAAATCAAATTTATCATCACTTTATATGTATTCACTCAGTCAAATCAATTTGTACCACAACCCGGCACCGTCAATATGTTCACACAACAAAGTTATTTTCAAATATTTCCTTAATTTTATTGTTACACATCAAGATTTTATTCAATTTTTTTTATTGTGAATAATTATGATTTGAAAAATCAAACATTTCGATGTAAATAAATAAATAAATTTGGGCTTTAGTTTTTTAATGGTTAATTTAGACCTATTTTTTAAAGAAAAATAATAGAAAATTGTAAAAAATAGTTTAACCATGAGATTTTAATTTTAATATTTGAAACTATTCAAGAAAAAGTTTAGATCTAAAAATCTAGAACAGTTGAAACATCATTTTTTTTAAAACTTTATATATCCAATATTGGTGTCATATGAAATATTATAAAAAATTATGAATTTTAATATACTTTTTATAAAACTTGGAATACAAATAAAAAAGTTAGCCCCTTATATAGGGGCTAAAGGGTCAAATAGGCCCTTGAACTGACTTAAAGTGTTCAATTAGCCTCTTATATAGGACCTTCTGTCTGGCCGTCGCCAATTGAGGCAGTTCCCGATGGAATTTTGTGATGAAATTTTTTGAACATCTTCTTCATTAAGTCTAGTTTACTCATACCAAATTTCAGCTAAAAATTCAACCGGGTAGGCAGTCAAATGATTTTTTGAAAATAACTGCGAAGATAAATAGCGCAGTACATTTTGGAAAATTGGTATGGGTAACTAGACTTAATGAAGAAGATGCTCAAAAAATTTCATCAAAAAATTCTACCGGGAATCACCCCTATTAGCGACGGCCGGGCAGAACCCCCTATATAAGGAGCTAATTGAACACTTTAAATCAGTTCAAGGGCCTATTTGACCCTTTAGCAAATAAAATTGAGATTATAAATTTGGATGGGACCATGCTTTTCTTTCCATACGTCCAAGCTGCTGTTGCTTCTAAATTTGGATGGGACCATGTTTTCTAAATTCAGTCAACTTTAATTTATGTAGCCCTCTTTGTTTAAGGGTCTGAAAAGGGCTTAAGCTGGAAAATATTGCCTGAGTTGAAACGTTGAACATGGTAACGTTTAGGTTCAGTCTGCCGTTTCCAGACTTTCTATTCCCATTATATCCCCAATGTCATATACTGCGTATAATCTTTTCTCCCAATAATTCTTCTCCATATTCCCGGTTAGCGTAGACTTAGGCTATGTTTGGCACAACGAGTTGAAGCTGGAGACTAATGTCTGAATTATGAGCTATTGTCTGAATTCGAGACTATTGTCTGAAACTGAATGATGAGGTGCTGAATCTGATGTACTGGTTGAATGACGTAGACCTGTTTGGCAAAATAGCTGAAATTGTGACTGGAAAATATAAAATTACATTAAAGGACATATAATATATTAAGTGAAAAATATTTAATAATCCGTGTAACACTACTATATTTTTATTTTTCTTTGAAAGGGTATTTTTATACTCCGTATTTATTATAATATGATAATATTTCTAGACCTTAATAAATATTACAAGTTGTATCATGTTGAACATCATGCATGTTCTGATGTTCATTATTTACGGTCTTGGAATTCGGATCAGTAAAGACATGAGTCTCAGAGGTGAATATGCGATTAAGCTTGAGGAAGATGATTAATTCCTTTGAAATTCCGTTGTCAGTCCTGCTGGTGTGGTATCCAAAGTCCCCAGCGCTGCCTATGGAGAGAAGCGGCAAATGTTTTCTCGAGTTTTGGGTGCTAAGGTTGAAATGACATGTTTTTCGCAGAGATAGGGATAAATTGGGCATTGAAGGTTTTTCAGCGAGAGGCTGAATGGAAACGCTTGCCTCACTAACGTTTGTCATCAGGTCAATTATTTAAGCTTCAGCTGAGTTCAGCCAGTTATCCAAACATGACTACTTATATAATTAATGACTGCATTTAAAAAAATTCAACCCTTTATGGGCTGAAAATGAATGCCAAACATAGCCTTATTGATCTCCAATTATTTTACACTAGTTTTCAAGCCCGTGCGATGCACGAGCAGTACATAATTTAACTAATTGTAAATTTAATATTTTCGGAATCATATATAATTTAATGTGATGCAAAAGCAAAATAAACCCAGTCTAATATAAAGTCGTTTGATAATACTTAAATTGGTCGAATTGTCTGACTTTACTGTAAAGAATTAATTAACTAATTGGGCTAAATTGACGGAATCTCCCAAATTATGAAAAAGCAAAATACAATATACTATGTATTACACAAGCAAAATACAATATACTATGTATATACAAAATAGTTAAATAATTGATATAAAACATAGTCTATGTGTACAGATGATTGTTTATTGTTGTGATTCCAATTGCTTAATTTAATAGCTATCCAAATTAACATGGAGTAAGTAATAGGTTCTTAAAAAGTTACCAAATAAAGTGGATTCTATCATACAATCTTTTCTTTCCATATTAAAATACAATAGAAATAGAATTGCATAGGTCGGAGATGAGGGAATCAGGGATCATATTTTTTGAATAGGTGAAACGTATTTCACATTTTAGTAAATACGTTCTGCGTCATATGTTTAATTACTTTCTTTCCAATTTTCCATATCAATATACAATAAAAATAGAATGTAATAAAAAAATAAAAGGTATAAAAAGTAATTAAATAATTGTTATATATAATGACATGGCATGATTATGTGGCACACCGTATGCTCTTGAAAAGTTCCTCTTTTATATATATATATATATATTGATTAGCTAGAACTATACGCATGGCAGTATGGGTGTCACTTTCTCTGGTGGTGCTATCCTATACTAAAAATTAAATTACTATACTAATGACACGTGGGAGTAGACTCTCATATTTTTAGTTTGGGAAACTGTCAAATAGGTCCTCGAACTTTCATAAAAAAGTCAATTAAGTCCTTCTATAGGAGACTCTGTCCGGTCGTCGCGATTTGGGGCGGTTCCCGGTGGAATTTTTTGATGAATTTTTTTGAGCATCTTATTCATCAAGTCTAGTTTACTCATACCAAATTTCAGTTAATAATTTAATCGGGAGCGCATTCAAATTAATTCGCGAACGCAAAAATGCGCAGTTATCTTCAAGAATTAATTTGAATGTGTTCCCGATTGAAGTTTTAGCTGAAATTTGGTATGAGTAAACTAGACTTGGTGAATAAGATGCTCAAAAAATTTTATCAAAAAATTCCACCGGGAACTGCCCCAAATCGCGACGTCCGGACAGAACCTCCCATAGAAGGACTTAATTGACCTTTTTATGAAAGTTCGAGGACCTATTTGACAGTTTTCCCTTTTAGTTTTAATCAATGAGGTGTCAAATTTCACATTTTTAAATTTAATCAATGACTTTAAATTATATCATACGAAGTATTTTAAATTCATCACATATGTATACACACGCATACATATTATTCCAGCACTTTTAATATATGTATGCACACGCATACATATATTAAAAGGATGTAGATACAAAATCGTATTAACAAATATTTTATCTATTAATAAATCATTTGTCCTTTAAAGTAATTTCATATTATTCCAGCACTTTTTCAGTTCTTTTTGCCAAATGGGTCTACTCCATACAGTTAACAATCAGATTCATCACTTCAAAGTTCAGCTCCAGACAATCGTCCGTTGTTCAGACAACAGTCCCTAATTCAGACATTAGTCTCCAGTTCCAGCTCGTTGTGCCAAACGAGCTGGAATAGACATTCTAGCCACTTTAGCACCATGCTCAAAGATAGAGCCCGTTTGGTAGCACCAAAATCGGCTGTTTTGGCTGATTCTGCTGAAATTTATGATATTCTGGCTGGAGTGGCTGTTTTGGCTGATTCTGCTGATTTAAGAAAAAAATATTTTAAAAATATATTTTATTAATAAATTAAAGAAAAAAGGAAAAATTGAAAATAATAATCCCAACTATTGTCGGTCCGCTGAAAATAATCCCAACTATTGATTATTTTTGTATAATCCCAACTATATAGACTGTCCGCCAATAATGGTCCATGACCAGATATTACCTCTAAAAAAAGTGAATTTTACATAGAAATTAAGCGTAAAAATTAAAAGTTGAGATTTTTTATAGGGATTACTTGTTATATCTCATCTCATCCACTTTAGAAACTACAAGAATTTATTCATAGGGACCATTATTGGCGGAAGGTCCCCAAAGTTGGGATTATTCTGGAATAATCAATAGTTGGGATTATTATGAGCGGACCGTCAATAGTTGGGATTATTACTATCAATTTTTCCAAGAAAAAATTATATGTAAAAATAGCTAAAATGGTCCTCTACAGTAACTTCAGCCAATACAGCCAGAAAAGTAACTCTAACCTTACTTTTTCGGCTTATTACACAATTCAGCGCGCGAAAGTAAAAGTTACGTGTTTGGTGAAAAAGCTGGCTGATAAGCCCGATAAGCCGAAAACAGAGTTCTCCAAACGGGCTCATAGCTTTTTCACCCCAGTGGTGCAATCAACCTAATAGTTGGAAAAATTCTCAACTGAAATAACCACCTGTAAGTCAAATTAAAAGCAACGAACCAGAATGAACACTTTAATTAATTTAGCATCCTAGCTGTAACGCTTTTTCCGGGCAACTCTGTGGAAGAATACGTTGCATCTCCATCTCTCCCCAAATTCATCTCTTCCCCTCTCATTGCTCGCCATCGAGAGCTCTCTCTCATAGCTCTCGATCGAGCTTTTGATTGTAAAAAAATTTGTGCTTCTTCTTCTGTTTTTTCAAAGGAAGAAGCAATTTGATTGCCCTTTGAGTTTTTGTATTTGGTGGAGATTGTGTTTATGCGATTGTGAGGGAAGGTAGCGAAATGGACGTCACAGCGCAGTTGAAACGGGGAATATCGCGGCAGTTCTCTACCGGGTCGATGAAGAAGAGCGGCAGGTTCAGCTTCAGGCGACAGAATTCGCTTGATCCCCGCCGAAATACTATGCGTTTCAGCTTCGGCAGGCAGTCGTCGCTAGATCCGATACGGCGGAGTGCCTCCGATGATGCCGAATTGCTCACGGTGCCGGAGAACCTCGACTCCACCATGCAGCTGCTCTTCATGTCTTGCCAGGGGGACGTCGAGGGAGTCAAGGAATTGCTAGACGAAGGAATTGATGTCAATAGCATCGATTTGGATGGCCGAACAGCTCTGCACATCGCGGCTTGCGAGGGGCATGTGGAGGTGGTGAAGCTTCTGCTCATCCGGAAGGCGAATATTGATGCTCGTGATCGATGGGGGAGCACGGTATAGCTGGCTTCTACGACTCTATTTTTATTATTATTTGGCGGGATTATGTGAAGTTAGTCCACCCCCTTTAGTAGAATTTGGTTATAATTGGCTCCAATTTCTATTTTTTTGCTACTATTTCAACGTTTTCCTAAAAGACATGACCACTTCTTCATATTTTATCTACCGTATTCAATGCATTATAAAACCTTACAAAAAGCACCAAAAAACAAAGGACCTTTACTCTGCTTCAGTATTTTACTTGAATTTTTCATGTGTAGTTATTGTTAATTGCCTCAAAGGCTCAAACTATGAATCTTCTACTCCTCGTGCATTATTACAGGCAGCAGCTGATGCCAAGTACTATGGAAATTCTGAAGTTTATAATATATTGAAGTCCCGTGGGGCCAAAGTTCCAGTAAGTGGACCAATTTCAAACTTTACATTCGAGCATTTGTTTTTTGGCACTTATTGGAGTCTATGCCAATTGCTAGAAAATCAGGAAGACGCCAATGGCTGTTGCTAATCCCCGGGAAGTTCCAGAGTATGAGCTCAATCCTCTGGAGCTTCAAATTCGCAGAAGTGATGGTATCAAGGCAAGATCTATATTATCTCAATTTATATTTTCTTGAAAACATAACAATTCTGCAATTTTACTCTATTATACATCAACCTAACATGCAAATTTTGGTCCCAAATGGGACATAAGTTAATGAAGAATTTCAATTTATTGGATTATTCTGTTCAGTTCTGTCGCCCATGGTATACAGTCTCTGGAATTATCACTAGTTATTGATGCTATTTGATATAATTATCACCTGTCTGATGTATTGAAAAAGAATAGGCTGTATTTATCACTAGAATCTGATGCTATTTGATGTAATTATAACCCGTGCATGATAAAATATATATATATATATATTGATATAGTGGCAATAATTACCCTAATCTGTATGGCCACATATACCTGCATTTATATTTGTTTGTCAGTGTTTGAAAAGAGAACTAAGTATTTAACTATTTTTACTCTTTCATCCCGAATGAATCTCTGCATGTAAGTTAATGCTTTCTTGGATTAGATAACATTATTGATTTGCATTGAGCAGGGATCATATCAAGTTGCTAAATGGAATGGCACAAAGGTTTCTGTGAAGATTCTCGACAAGGATTGCTATTCAGACCCTGAAAGCATGTATGCATTCAGCAGTGCTTAAATGTTAAAAAAATTGTTGCCACTGAAAAGGAAAATTGTATTGGCCGTTTCAGAAATTATTAGTCTACAACTAAGTTGTTTAGTAGTGACTAGTGAGAGATTTATTTCTTGTGCTTTACAAATTCTAATTTTTAATGTCTGATGTGTTTCTTTAATTCCCTTTCTTTGTATACAGAAATGCTTTCAAACATGAACTAATGATGCTAGAGAAAGTAAGACATCCTAATGTGGTTCAGTTTGTTGGTGCTGTAACTCAAAATATTCCAATGATGATTGTTTCAGAGTATCATCCAAGAGTAGGAATCTCTCTCTATCCCATTGAATCCCACCAAACCTTCCCCTCTTGTAATCCATATTGCTATCAAAATTCTTACAACATTTATTTTGCACTTATATATATGTGTGTACACACACACACACATATTATCATACTGAGGACTCACATTAGATGGGTTAAATAATATGATGAGTCTAAGATAATTAACTTTTATTCATTCAATGCTTTGATGCAATTTTTTTCGGTTCATTTCTTAGATGAGTCATATTTCATGTCTATTGACTACTGTTCACCCAAAGAATCTTAGCTTGACAATTGAAATGTCACCCAAATAATATACTGCTAGCAAATTTTCAGGGCGACCTGGGAGCCTATCTTCAAAAGAAAGGGCGTCTATCTGCTTCTAAATCTTTAAGATTTGCTCTTGATATCGCTAGGTAAGTGTTATTTCCTTAAGGATGTACTTAAGTTAATTATCAACTATTGAGTCATTTTTCTAATCTTATTCAGCATGCATAGTGAGATGTTCACATTTTCGTACTTACCCATTGTGTGCATGTACTGTTAATTTATATCTGTCTTTTTATTTTTCAGGGGCATGAATTATCTTCATGAATGTAAACCAGACCCAATTATCCATTGTAGTTTACAGCCAAAGTAAGGAAACTAAATGCTTGAGTTTTCTAGGAGAAAAGTTGTTAAGTTCTGCACTGGTTGGGATTTGCGCTGTTCTTAATATTAAAATTTCGGTAAGGTGCCAGAAATATATTGCTGGACGATGGAGGCTTGTTGAAAGTTGCAGGTTTTGGTTTGCTTAGGCTGTCCAAAATTTCACCTGACAAAGCAAAGTTGGCGCAGCCTGATGCTTATGACCGTTCGAGTATGTTATTTAGATATTACATCTGCATAATTCTCATCAGGGATATACCAAAACGTGGCATTATGATTCTGATTCATCACTGATTTTCAGTTTACACTTGAAGATGTATAATAAAGTAACATTTACCTACTTGCCATTGCAGAAGATAGTTAATTGACTGTTTCATTGTAAATGGTAGGTTACTATGTAGCACCTGAGATTTATAGGGATGACATATTCGATAAAAGTGTGGATGTATACTCTTACGCACTCATACTTTATGAGGTATGACTTTTTCTTCTGATTTGTTCGTTATAGTAGCCATGTCTACATGTGTTTCTCATATTAATTCTCTGTCAAAGAAGTTGCCTCAAATTTGCATGCAGCCATTTTATATTGCTTTTGAATAGAAAATTAGTTTGTAGCCCTTGGTCCCACTGTTGCCTCCCCAAATAAATAACCCCGTCTTTAATATATATGAAGGCACAAACCAAAAGATAAAAGCATGAAGAGTCCTATCAAACTGACCTTTTAAGATGGATTCAAAGTTTTAATGTAGTATCAAAGTTCATCAAGTTAAAATGTGCCATTTGATTCATGTACTACTCAAATGAGCACACAAACTATTATATTGGTTTAGTGACTTTAGTCCATCTATCATGTTTCCTTTTAATGATAAAACCAAGTCTCAATATCAACCCCTGAGTGTTTCCCTTAAATCTGTACAGCTGATAGCCTGTTAACATATTTTATAAGACATTTTTTGGTCATTGGATTACAATTGATCCTTTAATTTGACTTCAGATGATGGAAGGATGTCCTCCTTTCCATCCAAAGCTTCCTGAAGAGGCTGCTAAGTTGTTATGTGTAGAAGAAAAAAGACCAACATTCAAGACAAAATCCAAGTATCCTCCTGACCTGAAAGAGTAAGATCAGATATGTTTCTGTTTTCAATAACTTAGCTGAAATCAAGCTTTTAGTGTTTGAAGTGCAATCATATGTATTCAATATAATGTTGTGTGTAGTGACATGCTCTTCTCTTGTTGTCTTTTGTTTATTTTTTGATGGGGTAGTTGCTTTTGGGGGTTGGGGCATGGCATGTGAAATTGGAGAAACATGTTAAGATTTAAGAATAAGCCCGAAAGTGATACTGCATTTCAATTCCAATTGCTCTTGATAACCAAATACTTTTGTTATTTTAGATGGTTTTCTGGAATCGTGAATATTCATATGCTAGTCTTATTTGTAAATCACTGCGGTTTCATTTATCTCTAGAAATCTAGAATAATAAAGTATGAAAGGCTCTGTATACCTTGCCATGTGGAGTATGTTGCATATAATAAAGCAGCGGCATAAACAAACTATGAAGGTATGAGGGAAAATGTGTGATTAGATCAGGTTGAGTCCTATATTTTGGATCTGAAGCTCCCATTTCAGAAAGGATGCAAATTGAAATTGGATTGAAAAGATAAACACCTTAAATCTTTCATTTACGTGTTTCAGAATTCATTTCTTTTTTATTGTTGATGATGTGGTTGGGGTAGCAGGGGGAGAGTATATATAAGCATTTCTAAATATGATATAATATATTGGTACTTGATTGCCATCTCGCGCTACCTGATTGCCACTTATCCAGACATCAAGACTAACATGCCATGATTATGGGAGCCAACTCTTTTATCTGTACTCTTATAGATGATTTACCTAGATGTCAATGAGAGTCGTGTTAATTTCAGAATATCAATCTTGCAGTCGGACATGGCTGTAGCAAGTCTGGCAAGTCAACTCTTTTCTTCAAATACTTTCTGTGGGTGTGAAAAAACCTATGATATGCGGTGGAAAACTTAACTGATATGCTATTTTGCTTGAATTTGTAGTGTCCAAGTTTAAATTATTAATGTGATGGTGATGATGATTATGAATTGACATATGTTGGAAGTTTTGAGAAGTCATTTATATCCTTCTCTGAACTCCACCTATAGTCAGTTGAATATAGGACAAGCTGAACAAGCTCTAGAAATATCACATGCCTTTTCCCCTTGTTATTTGCTTTGGATGATGCTCAATAGTTGTTTTTGTGCCTCTTCAATTGGTTCGAGTCCATTATAGGTTGATTGAAGAATGTTGGGATCCTAAACCTGCTGCTAGGCCAACATTTTCTGATATCATTGCACGGACCGATAAGATTGTTACAAATTGCTCGAAACACGGATGGTTGAAGGACACTTTTAAGCTTCCTTGGTAATGATTCATTCACCTTTAAGCTTCATTCTCTAAGTCTATTTTGTAATCGACATTGACTTCCTTTGATCGAATGATCACTGCAGCTACTGTTCATTCTATGCGTACATGAAATTCAATATAAAAAATCAAACACACCCATTACTCAGAATGTCCCACTCGAAATCAGCGTTTGGGAAGGGTGAGATGTAGCCATGTAGGTAGGCTGTATCTCTAATACCCTTAATGTAGAGGTTCAGTTTCCACAAAGCCCGACTCGATGCGTGCCAGGGAGAAATACATGTGCTCTCAAACTCACAACTAATATGCGATGAAATAAAAAGGTGTGGAGGGGGTAAACAACAAAACAAGATAAACCTAGGACTTGCTTTATTGCTACGACACACTACGAACATAGAATGTGCTTTTACTTATAGATGAACCAGAAGCTTGCCTAGTCAAGTTTAATCCAAACGTAATGAAAGTCATGTAGCTACTTTGTGATTCTGATCCGGCCAGATTTGCATCAGTGGTTTCTTTGCATTTACGATATAGTTTTGGAATTTTGATTTTTGCCATTTTTCCCACATACGGAGTATGGTCTAATTTTGGCATTTTTATTTTCCACTAGTTCCAGATGTATAAAGTGGCTATAATTTTGCAGGTTATAAGGGACACGTTGAAATAATATTTATTATCGGGTGCGTGAGAGAGGTTTTTGATCGGATGGTTATTAGCTGCTAAAGAGAGAACTTTTGGAGGGCTTATTAGTCCAAACTCCAAACTTAATCATGTAGAGACTGGGACGTTGCTGGCCTGGTAATTTTGACACGTTCTGCACGAAGGCTTCACATTGCAGATTGCACAAGTTTATATTCAACGATTGATCATCAACGATGGCCTGAAGTTCAGGATTATGTATCACTGAAACTTTCCTCAGTAACTTTTAGCCAGCTGAACCTCTCTCTCCATGCACGTATGTTTTTCAAGCTTGGTTCTTAGAAGATTGCTTTTAGATCGTCAGTGAACAGGAAACATATGTATTATAACTACAACAGATAAAAGAATGAATGCATACTTCCTTTTTTTGCATGATGGAATAGCATCATTCATTCTCTTGCAGTCTCGCGTCTTTCTTTGGAGGATACTATTTTTCTTATAAATCCAAAACTCGAATAAACAAAGTTTGTGACTACGTTAGAGCAACACAACACTCATGAGTCATGACTTACGGAGTATTAATTGTACAATCATTCATGTATGATAACTTAACTTTGGAAATACGTTTATTAATAATTTTTTGTTTTCCATCACTGATAGTTTGTTTAACTTGCATTTTAACATTAGTTTATTGTTATTGTTGTTGTTGCCTATATACGCTCAAATATTCTCATTATGACATTTAAGATTACAATACAAGTATCAAGTATGCATACAGTTATTTCATTGGATCTTGTCCAATGAAGCTGTAATTGTAAATAAATAGAAGACCGAAGATGGTGTTTTTTGAATCTTCTGAATAGCAGCAGCAGCCAATGATTGATTCTGTTGGCTTGATCTACCAATCTACCATGAATTTCTGAAGCAGTAATAAGAATTGTGAATCATATCCCATCGTCCTAGACCCTTATACATATTTCTTAAGATATTTGTAGCTATGTTGTCCAACACAATGTTTTAGGACTTGCGCTCCATATAGAGTAGGCATTGTAATCCTCCATGATCAAGTCGCACAAGTTCTCTTGCTCTCTTTAATCATGGCACTGCCCTTGGAGATTCCACTCGCCACCAGAAACTGCCATCACTGAATAGGAAAGTCATGTGTGTGAGATCCATTCTTTTACCAGATTTTGTTCTCACTGCTTTTACGTTTTCCTTTCAATGAGGTGGAGTAGCTGAGTAGCTGTCCCATTCACCATCTCAAGGGCCTTCAAGTCCCCTTCTACTTTGCCTAATTTGAGATTTCCGAAGCACACTTTCACACACCGGCACATTCCTCACTCTCAAGCTGACCTTAGTGAGGGATTTCTTACCCAACTGCAACGGTTGACCCACACCTCAACCTTTGACCAGCATAACATTTTTGACATTCACAATTTTCCTGCTTATTTCCATCATTTGCAATGGAGCCAAAGACTCACTATTTTTTGCCTTGAGATTATGATGGAATAAAGCAAAATGGTTCAATAAACTGTTTGCTCTTCTTTGTTATGAAACAGTACTCAGTCCATGCAATTTTCGACGCGATTTTCACTATGGACATCTGGAAACAGTCTATCTGTGCTTTAGTACAGGGGTAAGACTGTTGGAAAATGTGTTAGTAAATTGCATTAAATGGTCATTTTGGGGCAATCTTTTGAGTGGGGTCCACTTCCGATTTGGGTCGGGTCAAAGTGGTTTCGGATTGTCCTTGTTAAGGGCTACAATTCGATACGTGGTACACTCAAAACGGATAACGGGTGAATGAAATATCGATTTTCGAAGTTTGCCCGTTGAAATGGGGTAGCAGCCGGCTGCTCTAGCAGCCCACTGCCGGCAGGATAGTCGGCAGCAGCCTGCTGCCGGCAGGACAGTCCGTAGCAGCCTGCTGCTGAGACGTCTGCCGCAGCCCACTGCTGGGACGTTACAACTCCATAAATGCCCAACGTTCTTTTGCAATAAATGGACGGTTTTTTGGACTAGAATCAATGCCAACGTGCTGGACATTGATTACCAACGTTCATATCCATTAAACCTCCATTAAACACACAACAAATCTTCCCTATAAATGGCTGCAGGTGGTTTGCAACAACAAAACAACACACAATACGAACTTCACGTGTTTTCTAGCTCAAATACACCTCCAGCATTCCGAAAATTCCCTTTGTGTTCAGCTTTTGTTCTCGTTCGTTGGAACTCTTGTTTGTGTGCTCAAACATTAGTTCGTTGTCATCGTATCCTGGGAAACTATTGTTGCAACGCTCCTAGCACCGTGGGAGGCAACAAATACGTTTTAAGGACATCGTGCGTAGCACGAGCTTTGACAAATTTCTGCTCCATCTCATTTCTGTTTTCTTTTGTCATTTTATTAATTAATTTATTTTAATTAATTTTCTTTGTTTTTCGAAACACACCCTACAAACTTAAAACGTATTTTGTTGCTAAGCTTGTATCATACGGATACAAACTTAAAACGTATTCGGTGATTGTTCTACTGTGGTAAACAATCTTACACTTGTAGTTTGTCACCTTGGTGAACGAACTTGTTTTTTGTGTTTCCGAAGAACGTAAGAAACGGAAAAATGACTTCTCAAGAAAATGAAAATGTTGTTGGGCAGAATGCTTTGAACGGTTTGAACGATAATCACTCTGAAAGCGGAGCTCCGGTGAACAATAGTTCACAACGCGGTGCATCTGCTTTGGTTAACCAAAGGGCTATCCCTATGGTGACCGTGCCGAGCAACTCTGTGGAGAAACCCGAAAAATTTAACGGGTTGAACTTCAAGAGGTGGCAGCAAAAGATGCTCTTTTACCTCACTACTCTCGGCTTGGCAAGGTTCTTGACCGAGGACGCTCCGGTTGTAACCGGGGGTGAGGTGGATGTGCAATCTTTCAATGCGGTTGAAGCATGGAAGCATTCTGACTTCCTTTGCCGAAACTATGTGTTGAATGGGCTGCACGATGCTTTGTACGATGTGTATAGCAAATTAGCTACGGCTAAGGAGCTATGGAATGCTTTGGACCACAAATATAAAAGTGAGGATGCCGGCGCAAAGAAATTTGTTGTTGGTCGATTCCTTGATTTTAAAATGGTGGATTCGAAGACGGTCTTGAGTCAAGTTGAGGAGATACAAATGATCTTCAACGAAATTCGAGATGAAGGAATGACGGTTAGCGAGTCGTTCCAAGTGGCGTCAATTATACATTTGTTGCCGCCGGCTTGGAAGGATTTCAAAAACTACCTTAAGCATAAGCGAAAGGAAATGAACTTGGAGCAATTGATCCTCCGTCTTCGGATTGAAGAGGATAACCGGAAGAACGATGGGAAACTCCCAATTGTTCATGGCGCCAAGGCCAACGTGGTGGAGCATGCAAAAAGCTCCAAAAATAAAAATAATGGGAAGAGCAAGCTCGGTCCCAAGGGAGGCGTTTCCAAGACAAAGTTCAATGGAAAATGCTTCAATTGCAACAAGAATGGACACAAGTCCTCGGATTGCAAGGCACCAAAGAGAAAGAAAGATTCTCACGTCAACTTGGTGCAAGGTGGGAAAAAGGATGAAGACATCATCCTAGCGGCTGTGGTTACGGAAGTCAACCTCGTTGGATCCAATTCCAAGGAGTGGTTTGTAGACACCGGTGCTACCCGGCATATTTGCTCAAACCGGGAGTTATTCACAACTTTTGAGCCATCAAATGGTGAGAAAGTGTGGATGGGAAACTCAGCCCATTCCGAGGTGGAAGGCGTGGGCAAGGTGGTCCTGAAGATGACTTCGGGCAAGGAGCTGACTCTAAACCAAGTGCTGTTCGTTCCGGAGATACGCAAAAACCTGATTTCCGGTTCGTTGTTGAACAAGCATGGATTCCGCATGGTTTTTGAGTCGGACAAATTAGTTTTGTCCAAGTCGGGAATGTATGTGGGCAAGGGATATGCATGTGATGGGCTGTTTAAGCTCAATGTAACGACTATTATTAATAATAATAATAAAATCCCTTCTGCTTACTTGCTTGAGTCTTCCAATGTGTGGCATGGTAGACTAGGACATGTTAATTTTAATTCTATACGTAGATTAATTAACATGGAGCACATTCCTAAATTCACAATTGATGTGAAGCACAAATGTGATGTTTGTGTTGAAGCAAAACTAACGAAAACGTCTTTCAAATCGGTTGAAAGAAAAACGGAACCACTAGAATTAATTCATAGTGACATTTGTGATTTTAAATCAATACAAACACGTGGCGGTAATAAATATTTTATTACGTTTATCGATGATAGCACTCGCTATAGCTATGTTTATTTGATGAAAAATAAACACGAAGCAATCGATAAATTCATTCTTTATAAGAATGAAGTGGAAAACCAACTTAATCGACGGATTAAAACGGTTAGGAGTGATCGAGGTGGTGAGTATGAAGCACCAATAGGTGACTTTTGCACTAGTGTGGGTATAGTACACGAACGTACCGCACCCTATTCACCTCAATCAAACGGTGTTGCCGAACGAAAGAATCGCACATTGAAAGATATGATGAATGCGATGCTAGTAAGTTCGGGCTTGCCACAAAACATGTGGGGCGAAGCAATCTTGACAAGCAATTACCTTTTAAATAAGGTTCCCCGGAAAAAATATGATAAAACTCCGTACGAGTTGTGGAAAGGCAGACGGCCTTCCTATCAATATTTAAAAGTGTGGGGGTGTCTTGCTAAGGTGCTTGTACCAACACCTAAGAAAATAAAAATAGGTCCAAAAACGATGGACTGTATTTTTATTGGATATGCACAAAATAGTAGTGCTTATCGGTTTTTAGTGTATGATTCAAATAATCCGGATGTACATAAAAACACAATAATTGAGTCAAGGAATGCATCATTCTTTGAAGACGTATTTCCATGCAAGTCCAACGATGGACCTAGCACGTCAAACCGAACATTTGACGTAGCTATGGAAAATACTAGCGAGGGATCCGGTGAAGAACCCGAACCCCGACGTAGCAAACGTGCTAGAGTTGAAAAATCCTTCGGACCGGATTTTCTCACATACTTGATAGAATTCGATTCGAATATTCTAACTTGTATGGTAGAAAATGAACCGGATTTTCTAACATGTTTGGTAGAAAATGAGCCACGGACTTATACGGAAGCCGTAACGTCTACCGAAGGACCAATGTGGAAAGAAGCCATCAAAAGTGAGGTGGATTCTATCCTAAAAAATCACACATGGGAATTGGTTGATCTTCCTCCGGGATGTAAACCTTTGGGATCCAAGTGGATTTTTAAACGTAAAATGAAACCGGACGGTTCCATTGATAAGTATAAGGCCAGACTTGTAATCAAAGGATACAAGCAACGTGAAGGCCATGATTACTTTGATACGTATTCTCCGGTAACGAGAATAAATTCCATTAGGATGATACTAGCAATTGCCGCTTTGCGGAATTTGGAAGTTCATCAAATGGACGTAAAAACCGCTTTTCTAAATGGCGATATAGACGAAGAAATCTATATGGAACAACCCGAGGGTTTTCGTGTTCCAGGCCAAGAAAAGAAGGTTTGTAAATTAATTAAATCATTGTACGGATTGAAACAAGCCCCTAAACAGTGGCACGAAAAGTTCGATCA